GAGGTAGGTGCTCCGCCCGAGATGAGGCTGTATGCGCTCGAGCACCAGATTCGCGAACGGGTCAAAAATGTCGTTGTCGCTGGAAATTTCTAGCCGGAGGCCACGTAGATCTCATACGACGACGATGGTGTGCTCGGGCTCGTCGCCGTGGACGTTGGTGACGAGAATCGCAGCGGCAGAGATCATTCGGTAGGGCTGCAGTGTATGGGGTCCGCGATCCACGACTTCAACACGTTTTCCGAGGTCACACGACGCTTCCGGACCGAGTATATGACCCACCGGAGGGATGTGGCCAGCGCCTCGCACGTGTGGCGCTCCGGATGCCCGCGGTCAACGCGTCGGGAATGTCGTCGGCGCCGAGCTTCGGCCGCGCGCGCAGTCACGTTTTGGGCCCGCACGCATCGAACCAAGCACGCGGAATCTCTTATACCATCACTAAGGACCCGCACACGCCCCAAACGAGCCAGAAGCAGCGTTTCCGACGAGTCCGCACTCGGGCCTCTGAGAGCGTGGGCCGCCTACCGCTGTCACGCGACCGTTTTGAGCCGCGAAGTCGCCATCACGAACGGTTGGAACGGCTCCGCGCCCTCGTGGGGTACATGCGCCGCGGCCGGGGCCGTTTTTCCTTCGGCTACCGCGGCCTACGCGCCGCTTTGAGGCCCATCGAGGGCTAATCGGGTGTTCACCACCCAAAGGTTTGGGTGTGCGCGAGCCAGCGATGCAGCCGGGCCTCGATGCCTAGGCCTGCTCGACCGGCTCCGAGTACTAGTCGATGCGCATGCCGTCCGCGTACGCGTCCGTCCGACGCCCGTCGAACGCCTCGTCGATTAAGCCCTCGAACGCGAGCCCAACGCGCCGCGGCGCCCCGACCGGCCTCCAGCATTAGTCACGTCGCCCCCTTGTCCTTGAGCGTCTTCTTCTTGTAGGCGTCGAAGTCGCCGTCGAAGCGCCGCACCTTGCCCTTGCCGACGACCCAAAGCGCGTCGCAGACCGCGGCGAGGAAGTGCTGGTCGTGCGAGACGACGAGGACGCCGCCGCGGAAGCTCTTGAGCGCCCCCGCCAGGGCGTCGATGGCGTCCATGTCGAGGTGGTTCGTCGGCTCGTCGAGGACGACGACGTGCGGCCTCGCGAAGGCGAGGAGCGCGAACGCGACGCGCGACTTCTGGCCGCCCGACATGAGCGCGCAGGGCTTGAGCTGCAGATCGCCGTCGATCATGAACTGGCCCAGGTGCCCCCGGACCTCCGCCTCGGACGCGCTCTTGAAGCGCCGGAGCACGTTCTCGATGGGCGACAGGTTCAGATCGAGCTGGTCCGCGTGGTGCTGCGTGAAAAATTCGACCTTGAGCTGCTGCTTCCGGTGGACCTCGCCCGCCCGCGGCTTAATCTCGCCCAATAGCAGCTTCAGCAGCGTCGACTTGCCGCTGCCGTTGGGCCCGACGATGGCGACGCGGCTCTTGTCGTCGACGTCGAAGTCGACGTTTTCGAACAACGACGGCCCGTCGCCGTAGCCGAAGGCGCAGGTCTCGGCCTGGAGCATGGGCCGCGACAGCGGCTCCGCGGCGGGGATGGCGAAGGTCCAGGGCTTCGCGTCCCTGGGCTCGTCCGGCGCCTCCGCGTCCATCTTCTCCACCGTTTTGATGCGGCTCTGGACGATGGACGCGCGCTTCGCGTTGTAGCGGAACTTGTCGATGAACTCCTGGATGTGGGCCCGCTGGTCCACGTAGGCGTCGTACTCGCGGCGCGCGCGCGCCGCGGCCTCGTCCCTGGCTTTCACGTACGCGTCGTAGTCGCCGCGGAACGGCACGAGCCGCTGGTCCTTGAAGACGACGCAGTCCGTGCAGACCGCGTTCAGGAACGACCGGTCGTGCGACACGAGGACCAGCGTGTGCTTGAACGTGTGCACGAGGTAGTGCTCGAGCCAGATGCAGGCCTCCAAGTCTAAATGGTTCGTCGGCTCGTCGAGGAGCAGCAAGTCGGGGCTCACGAAGAGCGCGCCGGCCAACGCCGTCCGCACGCGCCAGCCCCCCGACAGCGACGACAGCGGCGCGACCTGCTTCTCCTCGGAGAAGCCCAGGCCGTGGAGGATCGCCGACGCGCGCGCGTGCGCCGTCGACGCGTCGAGAGATTCCAACTGCTGCGCGATGCTCGCCAATTCCGCGTGGGCCGCCACGGCCGCCGCGGGCTCCATGCCCTCCAGCCCCGCGGAGAGCTCGCGCTCGCGCGCGCCCAGCGCCGCGAGCTCCGCGTCCGCGGAGAGCACCGCGTCGACGACCCGGACGCCCTCGGCGCCCGGCGCGACCTCCTGGCGCACGTGCAAGACGCGCAGGTGGCGCGGGAACTTGGGCAGGTCGAAGGCCGCCATGTGGCGCAGCAACGTCGTCTTCCCGACGCCGTTCGGCCCCACCAGGCCGTAGCGCCGCCGGTACGCGAGATGCAGGTCCGCGGATCGCAGGAGGCAGCTGCCCCCGAAGTAGACGTCAAAGTCCGTCACGTGGATGTCGCGCGACCCGGAGCCGGCGCCGTCGCGCTCGGGCACGGTCATGGCCGCGACGCCGCCGCCGCCGTGGTCGCTCGCCGCCATCTGGTCGTCGAAGGCCGCGCGCGCGCGCTCGACGTCGCGCGCGGCCTTGCGCTCCGCGCGCTTCGACGTCGCCGCGGCCGCGCCGTCCGTGGCCTCGTTGTAGGACACCTTGGGCTTGCCCCAGGCCTCCTCGTTGTCCAGGCGCGCGCGCTCCTCGGCCTCGAAGCTCCGCGTCGACGCGCCGAGCGTCACCGGCGCGGTCAGCAGCGCGAGGTCGTCGTCGTCGCCGGCGTCCGCGCTTTCGGCGACGGTCCGCAGCCGCGCCGCGACGGCGTTCGCGGCGTCCTCGTCGTCGACGCCGGCGCCCTCGAGGAACTCGGGCAGCGCCTCCCACTCGCCGGCCTCGGCGAGGCCCACGACGTAGTCCACCGTGTCCTCGTCGTCGACGCCGGCCGACGCCAGCAGCGCCGCGAGCGACGCTTTCGTCGCGTCGGAGAACTCGCTCATTGTGAACGCTGCTGCCGCGCGGGCTGGGCGCTGCCTGCGGCGCACGACGCTGGCGGCGACGGCAGAGCTCAACAATCGATCGACGAGGTTCAACCATTTGACGTTGAAGTCCAAAAAACGCTCTTCCCAGCCCCACAACCGACGACAACAACGCACCAAGGGGCTCAAAAAAACAAACGAATGCCGTGCTTTTTCTTAGGACTGGTCGCCGGGCGACGCGTCTCCGCGGCGGTCCGGCGCCGTCGTCGAGAACGACGCGAGGACGGGCCGCAGCAGCGACGGCGGAAAGGGCGGTCGCCTATCGCGCGATTTCACGCCCTTCAAGAGGCGCGGCTGCGAGCCGAAGACGTTTCTGTGGAGGAAGCAGTGGTAGCGCAGCGTCTCGTCGCCGCCGTCGCCGCGCGGCGCCGTCGTCTCGATGGAGACCACCTCCGCGGTGCAGTCCCAGGTGCCGCGCTCGCCGCAGTCGAACTCGCACGTGCCGTCGTCGTAGAAGGAGAGGGTGCGCGGCCGCGCCCGGCCCCAGCGCGTCTCGCGGATGGGCCAGGGGTTCGCCGCCGGCAGGTCTGGACTCAGGCCGGCGCGCGCGGCGCCGCACAGCGTCGCTGCGACGGCAGCGATGAATTTAACTTTCATCGCTTCTAGCAGCGGTACTGCGGCGCGTCGTGGGCGGCCAGCGAGGCTGCCGGAGGCGCTGCGGCGCGTGGTTGAGGCTGTACTTGCCACAACAAAGCAGCGATCGATTGCAGTCGCAGTTCGATGGTCCGTCCCTGACGCAGTCATCGTCAAGCGGCGCGACCACTGCTGACACACGCTCTCGCATCGTGATGCGACTGCTCATGCTCGCCGCGACGACGACGGCGCTGCGCTGCGGCCTGCGCGTCCAGCGCACGCGCGCGCGCCGGCTCGCGACGCGCCTGCCCGACGCGCCGAACCTGCGCCTCCTCGACGGGTCGGACGAGCTGCGGCGCGGCCTCAGCGCCGACGGCTTCGTCAGCGCCAAGGCCGTCGACGTGACGCGCGCCGTGCGGGAGATCTCCGAGCTCCAGGAGTGTCTGCCGCTGGCCGCCACGGCGCTCGGCCGGGCCATCGCGTCCGTCGTGCTCATCGCCGACGGCCTCGAGGCCGACGAGACGTTCCAGGTGCGCTTCGTCGGCGACGGCCCGCTCCGGGGCGTCTTCGCGGTCTGCAACGGCGCGCTGGAGACGCGCGGCTACGTCGGAAATCCGAAAGTCGCGCTCGACGGCGGCGTCAAGAGCGGCGTCGGCGCGGGCCAGCTGCAGGTCGTGCGGCTGAAGAACCTGCCCGGCGAGGAGGAGCTGTCGCCCTACAGCTCCGTCGTCGAGATCACCTCCGGCGAGATCGCCGAGGACATCAACTACTACGTCGCGACGTCCGAGCAGCGCGAGGGCGCGCTCTCCGCAGGCGTGTCCTTCAGCGACCTCGACGCCGTCGACGGCTGCGGCGGCTGGCGCGTCGAGCTCCTGCCGGGCGCGCCCCAGGCCGTCGCCGAGCACCTGCTCAAGAACATCCAGCGAGTCATCGACGAGAAGGTGACGACGACGTCCGTGCTCAAGGCGGGCAACACGTGCGAGGCCGTGCTCCGCGCGTCGACCGGCGCCGTTTTTTGTTCTCTTCCGACCGCGCGGATGATGCGGGCACAAATCGTATTTTAGACTACGGATCATCCGTGACCGAGACATTTTATCAGCTCCTTGTGACGCGCGCCCCTCGACCCGCGGTCCCCACGACGGGTTCGCGGACCGCCCCGCGACCGCCTTCCGTTCGCAGGCCTGCTCCTCGACGGCATGGAGCCGCAGCTCGACTTCGACGTCAAGCACCCGGCGTTCAAGTGCGACTGCGGCATCGACCGGGTCTACCGAGTGCTGGCGCTCCTGCCCCGCGACGAGATCCAGGATATCCTCGACCAGAACGACAAGATCGAGGCGCGCTGCGAGTTCTGCTCGCGGCTCTACTCGCTCGGCAAGGACGAGATCGCCGCGCACTTCGCGCGCGTCGACGTGGAGGACGAGTAACGGAATTAGATTAGTCGACGGCGAGCGCGCGCAGGGGCGCCGCCGGCGACTCGACGTCGTCGTCCTTCTCGGAGATGGACGACGCCCACCAGGCCCGGCGCCGCTCGAGCTCGGCCCGGTCCGCGGCCGCGAGGAGCGTCGCGTCGACGCCGTCCAGGGTCCGCGCGACCGTCCGGAACCGGCGGAAGGTGACGCTCAGGCGCCGCGACCGCGCGACGACGTCGCCGACGGCGCACGCCGCGGCGTCGCGGTTGCGGACGAGGCCGTCGACGGCGTCGGCCGGCACGGCGGCGATGGCGTGCTCGAGGCCCTCGTAGGCGTCGCCGGAGAAGGCCAGCAGGCTCCGCGGGCGCAGGACGACGGACGCGACGCGCTCGCCGCGCCGCGAGAAGTCGAGGCGCGCGGACGACCCGAGCGACACGACGACCGCGAGGCCCTCGTAGAGCGGGCCGTCGCGGTGCGCGTCGATGCCGCCGCCGGCCGCGTACTCGTTGACGAGCGCCTGCTGCGGCGCGCGGCCGCCGAAGTAGGCGGCGACGCGCGCCGCGAGGCCGGCGAGGCACGGCGGCAGCGGCTCCGCCCACGCGCCGGACGGATGCGGCGCGCCGCCGGCGGATAGCACGCGGCGCCGCGGCGTCGCGACCCAGCCCGGGAGCGCGCGGCAGCCGGCGGCGAGCGCCGTCGCCTCGGCTTCCGACAGGAACTCCGGGTGGTAGCGCACGACGCCGGGGCAGGGCGCGGGCAAGGGCGGCGCCAGGGTCGTAGCGGCGCGCGATTCGCTGGTCGGCCGCGCGAGGGTGCGCTGTTTGCGCGCTTCGCGGCGCGCGGCGGCGTAGGCCGCCTGCATGTCCAAGGCCGTAGCCATGTTTGGCAATAGATTTGCGGCGGCGAGGCTTTCGAGCCGCGCGAGAATATTACGGCGGTGCGAGGCTTTCGAGCCGCGCACCCAAGGCAGATCCGCCTTCCGCTTCGCGCCAAGACCGATGCCCCGCGGTGTCGCCATTCAGCATTGCCGTACTGGGTTTTACGATAACGTTGTCGCGCGAGGTTTTCATCGACGTCGAGGTTTCCGTCGAGATTTCGGTGTCCATCGAGGTTTTGGACGAGGTTATGGTGTGCGTCGCGGCTTTGGTCGCGGTTTCTGTCGTGGTTCCGCACTGTCGGCGCTCTTCGGCGTGCACTGTCGGCCTCGCTCCGCGCGCGCGGCGCTCTCGCGCGGCCGCGCGACCTTCAAACACCCAGCACTCGCGCCACGAGCGCGCGGGGCAGCCTCTCGCGCGGGAAAGACGGTTGAAATCGATCTCAGCATCTGCGGGCTCCCGAGACAAGCGGGTTGGTGTTTTGGAATGCCCGACCCCGAATTCCCACTGCGAAGTGTGCTCAGTTTTCCTCTCCGTGGCCTAGGGCACGCCAAAACCAGCGTCGAATACCTTGCTCGCAACCAAAACCATTGCCAAAACCTTGATGAAAACCTTCATCGACATGTTTTACGACAACGTTATCGTAAAACCCAGTAAAGAGATCGTAAAGGTGCACCGTCGTTCCTCGGCTGAGCTCCGCCATTCAGCCTTCCTCGTCGTCCCGCCCCATCTGCAGAACCGGGGCAGCGTTCTCGCGTCGGGGGCGTCCGAGGTGCGCGGGACGGCAGCCGCGACCAACCATCTGCGCCCAGAGCCGGGGAAGCGTCATCATGGCACGGCGCAGTTGATCATGATGCCTCGGCCAGACTCGGTCGGAGGACCAGAAAGACTTAGGCGCCCCGCGCGCGCCTAACGCCCCCGACGCGGGTTGGTGTCGTTCACCAAGTGGCAATTCGCGCACTTGAGGAACGACATGTCCTCGTGCGTCTCCTTGAGGATCACGGGCTTCGCGGACTCGGGGCACAACTTCCGACACGCGCCGCTGACGCCGTCGTCGTCCTTGCCGCACGACGAGCGCCACTTCAGGTGCTCCGTCGCCTTGTGGTAGGAAGGCGTGCTTCGTCGTCGGGTTCTTGCGCGGTGCGAAGTGGCCGAGCGCGACGCGCGCGTCCAGCAACTTCGTAGCGCAGACGCTCCTACGCTGGTTGCACGAGAGCCGCGGCGGCGGGACGGCCGCCGAGTCCTTCGCCTTGCGCTTGCAGCGCTTGAAGCGCTTGATCTTCTCGGCCTTGGCCGTCTCGGCGTCGAGCTCCTCCGCGCGCGCGCGATGGGCTTCTTCTGCAGCAGCTAGAGGCCGCACTGCGCAGCAAGCATCCAGCTTTCAGTATACATGAAGCAGACGATCCTTCAGCGATGGTAAACGCTCTGTCGGATAAAGAAGGCTAGCTACCATTGTGCAAATGGAAAGATGGGCCCACATGCCGTGGGCCCTGAGTTTGTTCAAAAGGGCGAGAAAAAGGGGCAACCTTCGCCCATCCGAGCGGACTACGCTGCGAAAGTTCGCGCTCTCGCAACGAACCGTTACCTTCATAGGCTGCTCTCAGCGCTACAAGATGGCCAGGTTGGCCTCAAGTCGCTCCAGGCGATCTCTAAGGACCCATATGGCAATGTCATTGCAGCAAAGGTGGACGCGCATGGGAACGTCACACCTCGAGGCGACGCAGCTGGACCATGCCGGCGCTGTGCACCTGCAGCGCACGCACGTCGGACGCGCTAAAGTGCTCCCACGCTTCATTCGGAACAGCCCGCAGGTCCGGCGCGAAGGCGCAGACCTCGCCGTAGATGCCTCCATCCAGCAGCACCCGTTCGCCGGCATGGACGACGCCATCGAGGGCCAGCACGAAAAAAGACTGCGCGAGCGGGCGCGGTTTTTGAAGAACGGCAAGCTTTGCGGCCTCCATTCCGTGTCGCTAGAGCTTAGGAACGGACTTAAGAGTCTCTTAAGTGCCTACTACTAGGATTAAGCTAAGTTATTATTATTATTATTGGTGATTTAGCGTCGGAGGAGCCGCATGCCCAAGAGCACACACGGCCTGTAGGCCTCGGACGGAAGAAGTTGAAGTAGGTGGGGCAGCTGCCCCCCAGCAGGGGCCGAAGGCCCACGGGGGGAGGATCAGCCTCCCCGGCGCCACAAGTGGCGAAGCTTATAGTCATTTCTTACTGCCCATCATCGTGACGTTGCGGGAGACGGAGAGCGACGCGAGGCGCCGCTCGTCCTCCGCGTCAAGGTCGTCCCCGAGCGCGTCCTCGGGCTCCGGCGGCGGCGGGCTTTCGGGTTGGACCGGCCCGTCGCCGCGGCGGTAGAAGTCGAGGCTCGCGTCGGCGTCCGCGCGGCTCCGCGCGTCGAAGGCCGCGCGGTCCGTCGCCATGAGGCGCGCGGCCTCGACGTTCGCGGGCGACGCCGCGTCGAGCGCCGTCGGGTCGCAGAGGAGGCTCTGGAGGCTCAGCAACAACACGCGGATCGACGCCGCGGGCCGGGCGTCCAGTACTCGGACGGCCGACCCGCGGCCTTCGAGGCTAGGCCGCTCCGATTGTTAGTAGGGCCCGTCGCCGCCTCACCGGCCGAAGCCCGTCCTCTGGGCGACCTCGGGCCGCTCGTACTGGAGGCGCGACTTCGTCGTCGACGTCGGCGTCGCGCCGATGACGCCGTTCGTGACGTCGAAGGTCTCGACCTTCTCCGTGCCGCCGAACATGGGCGCCGCGGGCGCGGGGCGGAAGCCGCGCGAGAGCTTCGCCGCGACCTTGCCGTCAATGATGTAGGTCTCCGTGTAGCCGATCTGGCCGCGGCCGATGTCCTCGGACTTGCGGTCGACGAGCTTGAGCGCGTGCTTCGTGCCGTCCTTGGCCGCGAAGGAGAGCACGTCGCCCGAGACGGAGACGGACGACGCGCCGCGGCTCTCGAGCTCGAAGACGCGGTCCGTGCCGACGACGCCGCCCTTGTCGGAGGCCCACTGGGGGAAGAGGTTCCGCTTGACCCACGCGGGCTCGGGAGCGGCGAGGGGCTGGAACCGCGCCTCGTAGGCCTCCTTCTTGAGCATCTCGTAGGGCCCCGTGTTGCCGAGCGCCTTCATCGCCGCCGCGGCCGCGGCCGCGTCGCCCTCCTGGACGTTGATCTTGCGCTCGGTGACCCACGTGCCCTCGTAGATGGACGCCGGGAAGAGCGCGTCGGGGGCGTCCGCGGCGCGCGCCGCCAGCGGCACGTACGGTGTCGTGAGGGCGCCGGCGACGGCGCCGGCGACGGCGCGGCGCGGCACGCGGAGCGCGCTGCCGGTGGACAGCAACGCGAGGAGCGCGGCCTTCATCGTCGTCGAGGCTGCGCCTCAGCTTCGGCAGCTGAGTTCGGCAGCGATTTGGATGAAGGTCAACTTGAAGGGGCAATTATGCGATGGGAGCTTACAAATCGAGCCCACAACTCATGAGCGGCGCATAAAAGCTTACAAAAGCGAGCGCACAACCTTGCAAACACATGGCAGCCCTGCTCCTGCCCGCCGACCACGAGCTCTCGCGGGAGCTCGCGGCGCAGGTCGCGGCGCCCCTCCCGCCGCAGATCTCCAGCGCGACGCGCATCGCCCCGGGCCTCGTCGAACTCCGCGTCCGCGCCGGCGCGGCGACGGGCTACGGCTGCCGCGCCTGGCGCGTCGTCGTCGGCGGCGAGGGCGTCGGCGACGACGTCGTCGACGAGCGCTTCGGCGGCGAGCCCCGATCGCCCGCTCGCGTGCGCTTCGCGGACCCGTCGCTGGCCCTGCGCGGCGTCGACGACTGCGGCGTGCCCGACGCGCGCTTCTGGGAGGGCCTCGGCGCGCGGCCGTCCCTGCACGCCATCGCCGCGCGCTGCGTCGCGTGGCTCGAGGGGCCCCGGAGCGACGACGACCGCGACGCCTGGGCCGCGGCGGAGGCGAAGACGGCGAGGAAGCGCGCGGCCGTCGTCGAGTTCCGCGACAGGTACGCCGTCTCCGACTGGGCGAAGGGCGGGCGCGGCCTCGAGGAGCCGGCGCTCGAGCCCGAGTTCCGCGACAGGCACGCCGTCTCCGACTGGGCGAAGCGCGGGGGCCTCGAGGCGCCGGCGCTCGGACTCCCGATCGTCGAGATCGCGCCGGGCGCGTACGCGTTCCCGCTCTTCACGGAGGCCTTTTGCGCGCGGCTCCTCGCGGACCTCGACGCCTGGGAGCGGTCGCCGCTCCCGCGGCGCCGGCCCAACAGCATGAACGCCGGCGGTCTCGTCGTGAACGACTGCGGCATGGAGCGGCTCGGCGACGATCTGTTGGCGCGCGTCGTCGGGCCGCTGGCGTCGACGCTCTTCGGCGACGAGGTCTTCGCGCGGTCGCTGGACCACCACCACCTCTTCGCGGTCCGCTACGCCGTCGGCGAGGACGAGACGCTCGCCATGCACCACGACGCGTCCGAGGTGACTCTAAACGTCTGCCTCGGCACCGCGGGCTTCGAGGGCGGCGCGCTCCAGTTCTGCGGCCGCGTCGGCGACGGCGACCACCGCGCGGCGTCCGGCGCCTTCGACCACCGCGTCGGCACGGCCGTGCTCCACCTCGGCCGCCACCGCCACGGCGTCGCGCGGCTCGCGAGCGGCGAGCGCGCGAACCTCGTGCTCTGGGCCCGGAGCAGCGCGTTCCGGTCCGCCGCGGCCTTCGGCCACGTCGCCCTCGACGGGCAGACGGGGCGGCCCGAGACGCGCGTGGACCGCGTCTGCCTCAGCGAGCCCAACGACCACGACTACGCGCGCCAGGTCGCGCTCCTCGACGCGCAACAAGAAGTCACCTAAACGTCATTGTTACGGCGCCTTCTTGTCCTTGAGGCGCTTGAGGAAGAAGCTCAGCGTCGCGTTGACGAACTCCGCGGAGACCTCGGAGAGCGCGTAGGCGCGGTTGAGCTCCTCGGCGATGGGCGACTTGAAGGGCGCGAGGCTGTCGCGCGCGATGGCCCGGAGGATCCCCAGCTCGAAGCCGCCGCGCCGGCCGATGGGCGCCGAGATCACGGACCGCCAGGCCGACCGCTGCGGGTCCACCAAGAGGAAGCCGCCGCCCGAGAGGTAGCCGCCCACGCGGAGCATGGCGACGATCTGCGCGCTCTCGGCGCGCGACAGGCCGCTGACGCTGTCGGAAAAATAGGCGTCCGTGAGCGGCAGCGGCACGGCGCGCTGCTCGAGGACCGTCGCGCCCGTCTGCGCCCAGGCGTGCTTGATGGACCGCGCCGCGCGCGCGACGGAGTCGTCGCGCGGCATGTGGCAGATGACGACGTTCGGCGCCTGGGCAGCACAAGAGTGATTCAACGTCGCTTCAACGTGAGTGTTCCGCGCGCGCGCGTTCCGGGAAAAGCATTCACGCTTCGAGACCGTTCCGAGAGATGATCGCTCGTCCAAAAATCAGCCGAAACGAGAGGAAAACGGCCGAGAAAGGAGCCTTTGAAGTTGGGAATTTCGCTCTCTTGTCCTGCCCTGTTCGGCGCGGGCGGCGCCGCGAGCGTCGCCTTGGCGCCGCCGTGCCAGCCGGCGCCGATGACGCCCTGGCCGCCCTTGAAGGCCTTGGTGACGCTCGACGTCGACAGGCCCGCCTGGTCCGTCATGAGCTGCAGGTGCACGCCGCGCACGGCCATCGACGGCGGCAGCGCCTTGGGCAGGATCGTCGCCGCGAAGCCCGCGCCGCAGCCGACGCCCAACGCGAAGAGGGGCACGCCCTTCCAGCGCCGCGCGCCCGTGAGCGCCACGAGGCCGTGGGCGACGAAGGGCCCGTCCTCGGGCTCCCAGCGCGACGACTTGCCGTCGTGGCAGCCCACGGCGACGGCCGCGAAGCCTTTGGCGAGCGCCGCGGCGACGATGGCCTTCTCCTCGGGCATGCCCGTGCATCTCTCGCAGGTCGCGCTCGCGTCCCACCAGGACAGCGCGCTCCGCCCGCCGCGGTGGAAGAGCACGAGGAGCCCCAGGGGCTGCTTGCGGTTCGCCGGCGCCTCCCAGACGACCTCGACGCCCTCGAGCACCTCCCAGGTGCCGCCGCGCAGCACGGGGCCCGCCGCGCGGCACCAGCGCCAGGACAGCGCGGCGAGCAGCCACCAGCCCGGCCTCGCAGTGCCCATAATTTTATTGAAAGCGACGGGCACTGAGCTCGGCTTGAAGTGCACTGCCAACCGCAGACATATATCCTTTTTCAACGCGTTGCCCCCTCAGCGCGTGGTGTGCCCCGCCGGCCGCGGCGTCGGCCCGTGCTCAACGCGCGCCCCGCGGCGCCGTCGGCGGTGCGCCATGGACGAGGTGGACCACATCATCGCGGAGATCCTCACGGAACGCAAGCACAGCGCCTCCAAAACGTCGCTGCTGCTCGAGACGAAAAAGCTGCGCGAGGCCTGGGACGCGCTCAACGCCTGGATCCTGGACCGCGTCATCCAGCGGCGGGGCGCCGCCGTGCCCAACTTCGGGAAATTCACGTGGCAGGTGCTCGGCGGCTTCACGCCCGCGGACCTGGACCCGCGCCTCGCGGGCAAGAAGGCCGCGAGCAAGATTCCGCTCCGGCCCGTGTTCATGTTCGCGGAGAACTTCTGCCGGAGCCACGGCCTGCCCTGGCGGCGCCAGAACGAGGCGGACCTCGTGAAGTGCGGCGACCTCGACTACAGCAACCTCGCGCTGCGCTACAGCTCCCACCTCACGAAGGACATGGTCTTCGCCGCGCTGCGGGACGTCACGCGGCGCGTCGGCGAGAAGATCGCGTCGGGCTTCGCGCTCCGGGTGAAGATGAGCGTCGGGTCCCTCGTCTGCGAGCACGGCAAGTGCCGCTTCGAGTTCGACGCGGCGTCCCTGGCCCCGCGCGCGCGCGAGCCCGCCGCGGCGCCGCCGCCGGCCGACGCGCCCGCGGCGGACGCGGCGCGGCCGGGCACCGTCGCCGCGAGCCGCCCGGCGTCCGAGGACAAATCCGACGACGCCGGCGACGGCGGCGACGAGCCCCTGCCGGTGATCCCGCCGCCGAAGCCCTACGCGTTCACGTCGAGCACGTTCTATTCGACGCCCGCGGACGAGTACGAACATCCCGACACGCCCGCGGAGTACCACAGCTCCGTGCTCGCCAAGACGAACGGCGAGATCATGCGCGACTCCACGGACGCGCTCCTGGGCATGCTCCCGACGAAGAACCACCTCAAGCCGTCGGCGACGTACTACCGGCGCGACCGCGACCCGGGCAAGCCGCTGCTCTCGGAGCTCAACGACAAGTGCAAGACGACGGGCCTGCTCCAGGCCGAGTCGTCCGTCGCCGACGCGGCCTACGAGCGCCACCTCGCGTCCATCGAGCACGAGGCGAACCGCATCCAGGACGAGAAGGTCGTCTTCCAGAATTTGTTGGCCGAGGGCTACGCGGCCGACGCGGAGAAGCGGAAGAACTGGAAGCGCGCGAACCTCGAGCTCCAGGAGTACCTCCAGAACCAGATCGACACCAAGGCCGTCAAGCACGCGCGCGAGAAGGAGATCCCCGAGGACGAGCTCAAGGAGCAGGAGGCCCTCGGCGCCATCGTCACGAAGAGTCTGGAGGCGTCCAAGGGCAAAACCTCCCGACCTGCGGACGGCGCGCCGCTCCGGCGGAACACGTCCGTCGCGGAGTCGCTCAAGCAGCCCATGCGGCCCATGCTCGAGGGGCCCTTCAAGATGTACAACATCACGGGCTTCCCGACGCGGGGCCGCGCGGAGAACATCAAGGTCCACGAGCTCTGCGACGAGCTCGCGCGGTCCATCGACTGCCGCAAGGAGCGCGTCAAGAGCGAGCGCGAGGAGGTGTTGGAGGAGGAGCGGCGCTTCATCCGCCACGTCAACGACGAGATGTTCAAGAACAAGACGCTGGCGAAGCAGAAGCTCGACGCGGCGAACAACGAGCTCCTCCGGGCCTGGGAGACGTCGCAGCACGTCAAGAACTTGCAGCGGCTCCAGGGCTTCGGCGCGGACGCGATGCTGAGCTACGCCAAGTCCGCCCACCCGGAGGGCGACGAGCCCGAGACGCTCCGCCACCCGCCGACGCTCCCGCCCACGCGCCAGCTCGCCGCGACCATCGCGTCCGCGAAGGCCAAGGGCGTCGACCTCTCCGTGGGCTTCGACCCGCGCGACGCGGCCGCGTCCGGCGTCCCGGCGTCGAAGAAGGGCTCGAGCCTCATGGGCCTCTCCACCGACAGCCGCAAGGCCCTCATCGACGCCTAGGGCTGCGGCGTAAAACGTAGACTAGGGAACGAAGGGGAGACAAATCGATCTGCCGACGCCGATGTCCCTGCGAAATAATCACAACGCCGTCGCGCTGGATTATTTAATCTACGTCGGCTAGAAGGGACGCCGGAGGCTGGCCGGCGCCGGCAACCTGCGCGCCGATTTAATTCCATTTTAAATCAACCATAGCCATTGAATTTCGTCAACATTGACGACAACGATACCTCGACAGCCCGGTCCGCATCGCATCTCCGCATCGCTGCGCTCGACCGACGAGATGCTTGGTGAACTGTTGGACGTCCAGAGCTCCGCGAATATGAAGGGACGTGCAACGATCCCAGTGGCTTCGAGGTCCGCAAACATGTGGGCGAGGCACCTGCGAAGACGCGACATCCAAACGATTGCGAGGTGGCGCAAACGGGCAGCTTCAGGGGGTGCAGTGAGGCTCGGCAGCGTCCCCCGACCCAATTTCGGGTCGCTTTCGAGCCACAGAGCGTCGGGAATCGTTCGTCATGGGGGCCACCAGATGCTCTCGCGACAGCTCCTCGGCTCGAGTCGATTTGATCGAGATCATCTCAGCGCCTCCGACGGGCGCGCGGCGCCGCGGGTGACACGGTGCTCACCGCGCAATGAATGAGACGTTCGGTGCGCCAGTGCTAAGCAGAGACCTCCGGGAAAACATTCCAGGGGTGGCTTACCCAGGGTCTAGCGCACCGCTCGACCTCTGGAACTAAGTTGGGCCCCTCGTCGGTCGCCCACCATCGTTAACGGCCGTTCTCGTCATCCACGGGCTGCCCCGACGCGAACCAAGTTGCTCGCCATCGACCGGTGGTCTTTCCCGAGCGACTCGCAGTCGGGCCCGAGGCGCGGCATGGTCCACAGACCGAGCGCCGCGCCAAGTCCTGGAACCGCTGCATCGGACGCCCAGAAAACCGTGGTCGCAGAAGATACCTTGACTGCATGATTCTGTTTTTCAATGGCCATGGTTGGTCCAAAAACACGATGATGGCATATTAAATCATGCGCCATCTGGCAGTACGGGGACCGCGCAGGTCGCTCTTAGATTAAATCGTAGCCCGATCATCAGAAAACGGGACCTCCGAAACCATAGCGCAACTCTGACTTCGTATTAAACCCCCTTAGAACCTAAGATGACGTAAAACGGGGGCGATCGTGGCAACGCGCGCAGGGCGTCGGCGACTCACGCTCGTTGAAGCGGTGGTTGCAGTTCTGAGCAAGAGAATCGCACGAGCATGGCCTGTGCAAGCAGCTCTCGATCGCGCTGGCTCGCGGCGGTCTTCGTCGTCTCCATCCATGGCTGCGCGGCGTACCGGCCGCCGGTCCTGCGGCCGCCCCGGCTCGCGCAGCTCCGCGTCCGCGCCGCCGCCGTCGCCGTCCCCAAGCACCCAAAGACCAACTCCGTGGGCCTGCTCCGGCGCGTCCGCGGGTCGTCGGCGACGGCGCGCGCCGTGTTCATCCCGGCCTTCGCCGTGGCCGTCGTCGCGTTCCAGAGCTTCACCTACCTCTGCGTGGAGACGGGCCACTTCCTCGCGGCGCTCGGCGCGGCGACGAACGTCGGCGACTCGATGATCGTGCAGCAGACGCCGGACGTGCTGGGCATCATCTTCTCCGTCTTCGCGTCGAACACGTTCACGGGCCTCTACGAGCAGCAGGAGCTGGCGCACGTCGCCGTCTACGCCGAGGTGTCCGTCGCGCGCGCACTCCTCGAGCAATTGGTGCTCGTGCTCGGCGGGCCGCGCGAGCCGCGGTGCCGCGCGGCGCTCGCGGCCTACGGCCGCTACCTCGCGGACCTGCGGCTGGACGTCGGCGACCCGCGGCGCGGCCCCGCCGCGCGGCTCCACCTCGGCGCGCCCACGCCGCGCGCGGCGGCCGTCGCAAAGGGCGAGGGCCGCTTCGAGGACCCGCTCGAGGAGCTGCTCTACGCGACGTCCGTGGGCCTGCCGTCGCCCCACGTCTACGCGACGGTCAAGGACGTGCGCGCCGCGCGGTCGCGGCGCCTCGGCGCCGTCCAGCGGAAGCTGCCGGGCTTGCAGTTCGGCATGCTCTACGCGCTCGGCGCGTCGCTCCTATCGTCCTTCGTCATCACCGTCGCGGGCTACGCGCCGGGCGCGAATTTGGCCATGGAGAAGTGGGGCTTCGCCGTCCTCGCCTTCGCGCTCGTCACGTGCCTCCGCGTGCTCGAGGACATCTGGTCGCCGACGTCCGGCGCCTACTCCGTGAGCCGCGTGCTCGACACCATGCTCGCGGGCCTCGAGAGCGAGCTCGAGGAGCGCCTCGCCGAGGAAGACGGGGGGTTCTAACGTGGCTTCGCGACGTCGGTGCGAGCGAGGAGACGTGCGAGGACGGCCCGCGCGAGGGCACGCGCCGCGCGGCACATCGCATTCAATTTGAGTGCACCGTGGCGGCGTTTGCCTCGACCCAGAAGCATGGTGATGGGGGCTGCAGCCCGGCTCCGCCTCGCGCTCTTCGCCGCCGCCGCCGCCGCTTGGCGGATCTGCGACGTCGCGGACCACGGCGCCGTCGGCGACGGCCAGACCGACGACAGCCGCGCGCTGCGGAGTGCGCTCGCGGCCTGCGACGAGGTCGTGATCCCGCGGCACCGCTCCTGCGTCAGCGGGCCCCTCAACCTCACGTCGAACCAGGTCCTGCGCGTCGACGGCGCCCTGCTCGCGAGCACGATCCCGGCGCAGTACCCGCTCATGGAGCCCGTCGTCGGCTACGGCTGGAGCCGCGACACGAACTGTTTTCCCGCGAACTCGACGCGCCGCGGCTTCCGCGAGGGCGCGCGCCGCCACGCGCCCGTCGTCGGCGCCTACAACGCGTCGAACGTCAGCGTCGTCGGCGGCGGCGTCATCGACGGGCGGGCCGGCGAGCCCCTGGGCTGGTGGGACAACTGCACGCGATGCCGCGGCGCGAGGCCGCCCGACCCGGCGTTCCCGCCCGACGAGGCCTTCTGCCTCGCCGCGAGCCGGCCCAAGCTCCTCGAGTTCCAGTACGTCACGGGCCTGACCGTCGCCGGCAACGCCGTCGGCGACCCGCTCCACCTCAAGGACTCGCCGTTCTGGACCCTCACGCCGAGCTACTCCCGAAACGTCCGCGTCCGCGACCTCCGCATCACCGCGCCCATCCGGACGCCCGGCATCGGCAACACGGACGGCGTCAACCTCGACTCGTGCCGCGACGCGCTCGCGGCGCCCGGCGCCCCTCTCGAAACCGAAAGCTCCCGAAGCTTTTTGCTCGCCGAGCCGCGCCCCCCGGCCGGCGGGCCTGTACCGAAGAGCGAGACCGACCGTCGACCGTCGCTCCTCGCACGCGCGTTCCCCTCGTTGGAGCGCGCGTCGCGACGGCCGCCGACACAGGTGGAGAACGTCTACGTCAACAACAGCGACGACGGCGTCTGCATGAAGAGCGGCCTCGACGGCTTCGGCATCAACCTCGCGATCCCGACGGAGGACGTGCTCGTGCGGAACATCACCTGCGGCGACCGGCGTGCGTGATTTGGGCCGGGAAACGAACAGACGACCGCGTAGGCGACGACGCGGGCCGCGGCGGCTTCGCCGTCGGGTCCGAGATGAGCGGCGGCGTGCGCAACGTGACGTTCCGCGACAGCGTCCTCGGCGCCGGGCCGCAGAGCCGGGGCATCGACGTCAAGACGAGCGTCGGCCGCGGCGGCTACATCATCGACGTCACGTTCGAGAACATCCGCGCGCCGTCGCCCTTTCCGAAGGCGAACGTGAACGTCCACTCCGCGCTCCGCGACGATCCCGACGTCCCCGGCGACGACCTCGTCCCGGTCATCGGGAACCTGCGCTTCGCCAACGTCTCGGGTCCGAGCGGCTGCGGGTTTTCCTTCTGCGACAAGGCGAACGGCAGCGCGTGCTACAACCTCGTCGTCGAGGGCGACAGGCCCGACGGCTGCGTCGCGCCGGACCCGGGGCCGCCGCTGCCGGCCATGACCTTTTCCTGCAAGCGCGTGGCTCGGACGCTCTTCGGCGAGATCACGCTGCCCTGGCCCGTGTGCGTGCCGCGCGAGGCGCCCGTGAACGTGTACCGCGACTACCCCAACTGGGGACCCGCGCGCGTCGCCTACCCCTCCCTCGGCGCCTGCAAGGCCGCGTGCCATTAGGAGCTGGGCCGGAGGTCGAGGTCGTCGAGGAAGAGCGCGCCGCCGCCGGCGACGTGGGATTTGACGGAGAAGAAGAGGGGCGAGAAGTCCGTGAAGTCGCCGAGGTCGTGGTCGAAGGCGACGGTCGCGACGCAGGTCGCCCAGGCCGTCGTGAGCGCGGCGCCGCACGTGTTTTTCAGGATTTTCCCGCGGAGCGCGCCCGGCGCGAGCGCGATCCCGCCGGGCGAGGCCATCGCGCTGTACGTGAAGGCGTAGGACGACGCGTTCAGGGCCGTGACGAGGAGGGGCACGAAGACCTGGACGTCGCCGCCGGCGAGGTTCACCTTGGCGGCGTAGCGGCCCGACTTGGGCGCGGCCGTCGACGACGTCACGCGGCAGCGGTCGTCGACCATGGACGTGTTGTGGCAGTCGTAGCCCGAGGCCCCGGGCCGGAACGTGAAAAACTGGCCCGGGTTGTTCAGGTCGATGAGCTCGGGCTGCTCGAAGTCGCCGTAGGCCACGAGGTTCGCCGCGTCGGGCGCCGGCGCGACGCAGCCGAGGCGGTAGACCTTGGCCTGGCGCGCGTCCAAGAAATCGCGGAGCTCGTTCGCGACGAGGGCCACGTCGTAGGCCTCGTCGAAGATGCGCGTCGCCGCGTCGAACGTCTTCCCCACCGCCGGGGGGAGGCGCGCGGCGAACGCCGTCGGGATCGACGCGGAGTTGACGACGACCGCGTGGCCGCACAGTTCGCTTTCCGCGTACCACGACGCCCAGATCTTGACGGGCCCGCCCGTCGCCGGGTTCACCGCGCCGCCCGCGTCGGCGTCGAGCGCCGCGCCGCCTTGAAAGAACGACGGCAGCAGCTCGCCCGTCATCGCCGCGAAGCGCGACGCCGCGTAGGACTGGCTCCATTTCACGGCCTGCACGGGGTTGTAGACGAAGAAGTTCGTGTGGAACATGCCCGCGGTCAACGCGCCCAGATACGCGTGCGCCTCGACCGCCGGCTGCGACCCCAGCGCGTGCGGGTCCGGCATGCCCACGAGCGGCTCGTAGGTCATGGGGAACTCGCGGTACGCGGCCATCGTCGACATGCCGCCGCCGTAGGCCTCCTTCATGACGACGTCGATGCCCAAGCCCGCGGCCTCCTCGGACCAGTACCAGGTCTCGCCGCAGGCCACCGTGCCGAACATGACGTGGTAGGGGTCCAGGTCGTAAATCAAAGCCTTGATCTTTGCTAGGGCGACGTACTCCGCGGGGCCGTACGCGTCCAATTCGGTCATGTGGCAGCAGTCGTCGCACGCGTACCAGCCTCCCACGGCCGGGTGGTCCTTGAAGGCCGAAATGGACGCGCGCACGGCCGCCCAGGTCTCGGCGTAGTCGGGGATGATACCCGTGTGCGAGTCGGGGATCTTCGCGACCGCGCGCGCGAGCTTGTCGACCTCGACGTTGCACAGGACCGCGAGCCCCGCCGCGTGCGCGTCGTCCAAAAATTCGAAGCCGTGGGTCAGGTTGGAAAAGCCGCCGGAGCGCACGAAGGTGTGGCCCTGCTTGCCCCACTCGGCGACGAGGGACGCCTGCTTCCTGACGACGACGCCGTCGTCGAAGTTGTCGCCGGGGACGGGCAAACCCGCGGAGATGTGGGAGTAGTGCCCCGCGAACCAGCCGCTCATGGCGAAGGGCACGCCATCTCGCAACAGGGCCCGGCGCTCGTGGTCCACCTGGGTCACGACGACGGACGTCACCGCCGGCGGCGGCGGCGCCCGGTGCAGCGCGCGCTCGTGCGCGTAGGTCTCGCCGCCGCAGGCGACTTGTATCGTCGCCGCGCCGTAGTAGGACGCGGGCAGGCCGTCCAACGAAAAGCCGAAGGACGCGACGGCGGTGTCCGCGAAGGTGTGGGCGACGTCGACGAGGGTCGCGGTGCTTGTTCTCGCGGAGACGCGGCAGCTTTTGCCCGCGAGGCTGCCGTCGACGGACACGAGCAGGGCCCCGGACGCCTCGCGGACGTAGGGCCGGCGGTCGAAGGCGGGCGCGAAGGCCGCGTAGTGGTCGACGAAGGCGTAGCCGAAGGGCGACGCGAACTTCTTGGGCGTCGTGCCGAAGCAGTCCGCGTCGTCGCGCGCGAGGCACACCGTCGTGTTTCCGGCGGTGACGACCGGCGGCACCGCGCACGTCGCGGCGCCGTCGTCGAGCACCGTCGCGTTGGCGTAGACGCGCACGCCGCCCTGGCGGAACCCGGGCTGCGGCAGCACCGGCGAGAACTGGGCGACGCGCGAGAAGACGCAGCGCAGGGGACCGGCGAAGGGCGGGTCGCCGGGCCCGCGGCGCAGGGTCAGCGTGCCGCCGGTCTCGACGGCGAAGCGCCACGGCTCCACGGTCACGGCCGCGGTCATCGTCGGGATGAGCAGCAGCGCGAGCATGGATGGGCCGCGCGCGAGCATGGATGGGCTGCGTCCAGCGGCTGGCCCCATCGGAACAAAGCTCGATCGGCGAGCGACCGCTGTGGACGGCCTGCGCGCAGTGGGCATGGCGCCGCCTTTCACGCCGGAGCTCTGGAATCTCATGCTCGAGTATCTGCCGATCGAGAAGGTCGTCGAGTGCAAAACAGTCTCCTCGGAGTTGGGCGTCGCGGCTCGGTTCGCGCTCACGAAAGGCCGCTGGAAACCGGTGGCGGAATCAGTTCGTGAATTTGAAAAGTGGAAATATAACGGGGTGGACGGTATTTGTCCTAATCCCTGTTACCACGCAGCGTGGGCCCTGGACCCGGTACTCCTTGCCGCTGAAAAGCAACGAATCCCGCCTTCAGATTTTTGGGGCTTTTTCTTTCTCGTCGAGCCGTCGATCGATGGGCTCGGACGCGTGATCAAAAGCTTGGATCAACCGAATGTTTATCTAGATGCTGTGGCTATGGACTTTCTGGCATGGGTCCAAAGAGTCACCCCGTCGGGCACCGTGTGGTCGACTTCGGCCCGACGGCCCGTGTGGACCCGTCTCTGGCGCGAGCTCGAGCACTGGAGTGACGGAACGCGCGCGGGCCACTTGCTGACCAGCCAGACATTCCTCGACTGGTTCGAGGACGAATTCAGCCAGGATTACGCATTGGAGATGACCGACGATTGGATTGACCAAGATAAAAGACAGGCTCTCATCGACCACATCGCGGAGACTGAGCCTCGGTTCGCGGCGTGGGAAGAGAGTCAGGCCCGGGCTCGGTTCGCGGCGCAGGAAGAGTTCGACGACTACTGAGAAGACCAACCCACCCACTCCCCTCCCCGATAAGACCCTAGACACGTATTACCCGCCCGGCGGCTCGTCGTCGTCCCGCCGCATCCGCCGCGCCGTCAGCAACTTCGCGCGCGTGACGCGCTTGTTCTCGAGCGCGAACGTCGTCACCTCCGCCTCCGCGCGCCTCCGCGCGGCCGCGGCCTGGAGCCGGCCCGTGCGCTTGCGCGTGTCCAGCAAATAGCCGTCGAGGAGCCGCTGCTCCACGGACCGCTGCTCCGCGTCGCTGAGGCCGTCGGACGCCCAACGCCGCGCCGTCGCGCGCGCGTCCGGCTCGATCTCGATGAACAGGGCGTCCGGGTGCTTGGCGCGGATGGCGTTCTCGACGTCGCGCACCTCGGACTCGACGGCGCGCATGACGTCCTCGGCGTAGAAGGAGAGCAGCGTCGGGAGCTCGTCGTCGAGGGCCCTCGCGCGCGCCGCGTCGGAGAACAGCGGCTCGTAGCGGTCGAAGAGCTGCGCGGCGACCCAGGTGCCGTCGAAGTCGACCTCGCACTTGTAGGCGAAGGCGTTGGGGCCGACCCACTGGGACTGGACGCTGTGGACGTCGTCGATGGCCGGCCGGCTCCGCAACAACGCCTCGATGTCGTCGACGACCGCCGGCTCGACCGCGGACCCGATGAGGTAGCGCCCGTTCACCGCCGCGAGCACGGCGCCCACGGCGCCCAGCAGCACGCCGACGGCGACGCCCGACAGCGTGTCGAGGCCGTGGAGCCCCGTGTAGACCGACGCCTTCATGCCCACGGCCACCAGGACGACGCCGCAGCACGCGGCCGCGTCCTCGCAGAGCACGGCGAGCAGCGTCGGGTCCTTCGCCGCCCGGACGTGCTCCGCCAGCGTCTTGTCCCGGGGCTTCGTCGCCATCAGGTGCGTCAGCGACTTGCCCAGCACCGCGCCGTCGACCACGAACGACAGCCCGAGCACCGTCCACGTGTCCCACGCGTCCAGCCGGTCCAGATCCACGGACGGCTCCGGCGCGAGCAGCTCCGTGAAGGAGCCGTGGAGCGCGACGCCCGCGCCGAGCCAGAAGGTGCCCAGCGCCGACACGAGGCTCCACAAATAGACCGACTTGCCGTAGCCGTACTGGTGCGTCGCCGACGGCTTCAGCGAGGCCGCCCGCAGCCCGACGAGGAGCAGCGCCTGGTTCCCGGCGTCGACGGCGCTGTGCACGGCCTCGGCGGACATGGCCGACGACCCGCTGGACACGGCGACGACGGTCTTGGCGCCCATGATGACGAGGTTCCCGAGCAACGCGTAGACGACGATCGACTCCGACTGGCTCAGGCCCTCCGCGGGCGCGTCGACGGCGACGATGGCCTTGTCCTCGTCCTTGGGCGACGTCGAGAGGCACGCGGCCCAGGGCTGCGGCGCGACGCGGGGCGGGAGGCGGCGCGCGGCGACGGTGCTGAGCGACGGTGCTGTCGTGACGCGATGGATTGTTGTGTGGCCGAGGCGCCGCGCGGCGACGCGCACGAACATGCTTGTGCGGCGCGGCCCGCGGCGGCGCGCGCGACGACGCGTGCGGCCGACGACGCGGGCGTCGAGGCACTGCACTGTTGCGGCAGCACCGATGCACTTTTGCCACAGTGGGCGCTTTCTCGAGCGTGACCGAGGCCTTCGTCGACCCGCCGCCGGGAGCGCGGCCAAAACAGCGGTTAACGCCTGGTGTACGACGCGCAGGTCCTCGCCGGCGCGCCCGACTCAAAAATCCGCGCCGGCGCGCGACCCTTCGCGATGGCCGAGGAGCTGCTGCTCGAGCCCGACTTCCTGTCCCAGACGCTCCGGTCGGCCCACGAGACGGCGGCGGAGGCCGAGGCCTGCGCCGACGAGGCGCGGGCGGCGGCGCTCCACGAGCGGGCCGCCCAGGGCTACGTCGCCGCCGCGCGGCGCGTCACCGACGGCGCGACGCGGCGGGCCGTGGCCCTGGTCGCGAACTCGCACGCGCGGCGCGCGTGGGCCCTGCGGCGGTCGCGGGGCCAGCCGTCCCAGGAGCCCGACGGCGCGCGGCCGCCGCCCGAGGAGGACCGGCGGCCGCGCGCGGAGCCGCCGCCGGGCACGCTCTGCGTCGGCGACGTCCTCGCGCTCGAGCGGCGCCTGCACGCGCTCGGCGCGCGCGGCCGCGGCGCCGCGCCGGACGTGAGAGACGCGCCGCGGCCCGGCGACCGCGCGGCGCGCGTGCGGGGCGCCGCGGCGCAGCACGTCGCCGCCTGCCTCGGCGAGACCTGGGCCGAGGACGCGATCGGCGTCGTCGCGCCGCCCGACTCGACGAC